GCCAGTGCTAGCACCAGTACTACTACACTCCATGTTGAGATTGAAGGGATATGAGCCCAGCGCTGACTTTAATCAGCGTCACTTCCGACTTACAATACAGTTACAAATAACAGTAATGGTAGTTGTAGTACCAGCCCTGGATTCCGAGAGTCTGGCTAGACACCTACTACAGGTGAGTGAGGGTAGACAGTACAGTAGTACTCACGCAAAGTCTACTATCAATAAAGCCTAAGTTAAGGTGGTGTTTCAGGCTGCGTTGGAGAAAGCGGCTTCCGCCCAAAGCCTGCTCGGCCATCTCGACTTCTGTCTTGTCACCGGTTTAATCTGGTGAAGAGTTTGAGTGATGTAGACAGTTGCGCGTCTATTTCACTATAATCATGCTCCATTTACTGTCTCTGCTCTTGAGCACATGGTAGACTTCATCGAAATCGATGGTCATCCGACACCCCCCTTCATATTATTGAACTAGGCTGATGATAATTAATCGAAAACGTTCGTTCAGTTAACTTGATGAACTGATCAGTCTGTCGGCTGACGAGGGGCAGACCAGTTAGCGCGCCGACTTGCCAGCCTTTACGACGGCCGCAAAGGGGACAAATGTTACAAGAGCCCACCCACGGTTAATCTTGCGGTCAGTCAGTAGCGGGACAAGAAAGGTCAGAGTTTGTGCGTTGAGCTCGGATATACTACCAGGCAGGCAGGCGGCAAGGCTGAAACTGTCACATTAAGCAGGAAGAATCACCACGTTACTCTGATGATGGAATCGAGTGTGTTTCCGAAACATCAGACTAAAGAAACTTTGGTCCATGGACTCATCCATTCTTCTTCGTGTGCTTTTGGGAGGATGATTAAGGTGATGGTACAGTAGTGGATCTCAAATCTTCACGCATATATACACTTTTACACAACCGTTCATAAACAATATACCTTAAAAAGTGTTAATGAACTCCAAAGGGTTAAATGTAATCTTAAAACGTCAGCAAAGTCTCTGTTGTGGTCATTAGGTTTATTGTCCGTTTGCTCACCCCTGTCGATTTTAGTGGAAGACTTAGTGAGAGCAAGTATCCTGAGAGATTTTTTACCAGGAATATTGATGCCAACTAAATAAAACCCACAAAATTTGCTGTGGAGTAGAAAATACTATTTCTCAAAGTCCCCTTTCGAGGAGACGCGGCAGGTGAACTCCTGAAAA